AACATTCAGTAGATGGAAGAAGCTATGTGAGTGCAGACTTTACTAAAAGTAATTTGTTACATTACCGCTGTCAACGATGTTTAGCTCAAGACCACTACACTTACAATTGCCCGAGTAAAACACCTTTAGGTGTTAAGGAGGGGCTCAGGTGCCCTAAGTGTGGGCTTCATCATGAGAGTTCTTCTGATAGAGATAAATGTGAGTCAAGAGATTCTGCGGCCATAACTTGTACTCGATGTCAGCAACATGGTCATTTTGCAAGGTGTTGTCCTACTCTAGCTTTGAACCCTATGACCAAGCAACAACGTGATGTGTTGTATAAGAAGCTGAAGGAGAGCCAGAAGGGTGGTGGTGGCCTGGACTCTCAACAAGTAAAGCCCTCCTCTTTGGGTGGAGAAGAAATTACGACTACATCAGCTATGGTAATCGATTCTCACCCTCATGGACTATTCTACATGGATGTTAAGCTCACCTTCAGAGATGTTACGACCAATCTTCTGATCGCACTGTGGGGAAGAGCTCTTATTGATAGTGGTGCTGATACGTGCATTGTAGGTGTGGAACTTGCTACTGCTATGGAAAGGGCTGGATGTGAAGTAGCCCATAACATGAAGAATGTTCATGTTACTCTAGCAGATGGCAGGAAGATTACTCCAGTAGGATCACTCAAAGATGTTATGATCTCATTGAATGATTCTGTGAACATCAGAGTTGATGACATCTATGTTTTACCATCAGTTATGTCTTCTAAAAGTGGACTGATACTGGCATTTTCCTTACTAGGAAAATCTAATGTTATATGGGCGTTGACTGCAACTGGTGAGAATATTATGGCATTCGGTGAAGATGCCATTGTGGCTTATAAGTGTATCAAAAATCTGTCATCTCAGTCTTCTACAAATTGCATTGCCGGAGTGAGCTCGTCTTCTGAGTCAAGGCTGAATGCTGTGACTGAAGGAGAAGATGGTAGAAGTACTGGACTATCAGTTCGTTTGATTGGTGATGACAGGGCTCCGGATGGGAGACCTACTGTTTCTATGCCGTGGCGGAGTACGAGGAGGCCCCCTTTGAACTTCAAAACTGTCTGGGCTCGGGATAAAAGAGTGTTTGATAGATTGACGGATCAGCAAAAGGAAGAATGTAGGGCTAACATGAACCTCTCTGTGGAGAGAGGTTACTTGATTCCTGCTATTCCTATGGTTCACGAAACTTCAGGTGAACTACCATGCGTGTCATTGACTGATGATGCCCTCTTCGATCCTTCTCTTCATGCTCATTGTAAGACAAGAAGATTTGTCTCTATCTTCCCCGTATGGGATCAAATCTCTCAAACAACTTCTTGCAGGTTGGTTCTAGATGCCCGATCGGACAACGAGTATTTGACTACACTTACTACCGGTAAACGAGGGTCTTCATCAAGTTTGTATTATAATTTACACCATTGGAGATTCTGTAAATGGTTTGTGCTCCTTGATCTGAGCAAAGCCTACTTGGAAGTGGGACTTGCTAGTGGCGATCAAGAATATGCTGGTACTATATTTAATGGTCGAATTCTGAGATTTACCCGAATGCCATTCGGCTGCTTATTCTCGCCATTTGGGCTGCAGGTATCAACAGAGGAAGCTATCAAGTATTGGAATGAGCATCCTTTGTTCGACAAAGCAGGAAAGCCTGTGCCGATGATGATGATCGATGGCTCAATCAAAGATTCCAATGGACAACTTTCACAACCCGATCATTGTGAGCCCTCAGAATGGATTCCTGATGGAGCATTTCCCTGTTACAATGTCAGCCCTGAGCTGTTAGCAGATGTATTATCGGTATATGTTGATGATTGGTGCATAAGCGC